AATAGATTTGGTGATCTGAAAAATGACAGTTTTCGTGAGAATGACCCATATATATATTCATTCTAGGATTTCCTCTTTTTTACTTTCTTACTACTGTCATTCCTGAAGTTAATACATCAGATTGTTATTTTTAGAATTTGCATTTAGTCTTGATTTTCAATCCCTTAATTTTTTTAGTGTTCCCTTACAACTTGAAGCTTGTTCGGCCTTAGCAAAAATTACATCAGGCAGTTTTGCCCAAAGAAGAATTGTTGTTGAGGCAGGAGCAGTCCCTTATTTTACAAGTTTGTTATCTTCTCCATGTGCTAATGTTGCAGAGCAAGCTGCATGGGCCTTAAGAAACATTGCAGGTAAGTTAATATTGTCAACTTTAAAGTTCAATTATAATGAATTATGATTTCATAATTTATCAGATTTATTAAATGTATTTTTTTATGCACATTTTTGTTCGAGGGAAAGGTAACTTTATAGAAATAAAACTTCCATAATAGCTTAGACTAGAATTAAGAAACTACTAAGGTTAAAAAAAAGTATAAAATATGTAATCTTAAAAAAAAAAAGTATAAAATATGATATGTAATCTTAAAAATAATTCTGATACAGTGTAATGTCCCATATCCGGACGTGCCTTTTCTGGAAGGGTCGATTTCCCGGACACTTTTTAACAATCAAAATAAACAAACATCTCTTATCTTCCCCTCTCTTGAAAAAAAAAAGTCCTTGGAGACTTTTTTTTGTTTTCTAGTTTCTAGTGATTCATGCATTAAACCCATAAATCAACAGAAAGGGGTAAAGACCTCCCAAGACCAGGACCAGACCTCTCAGGAATGCAGGAAAGGAGGGAGATTTGTTTTCAAAAGAGCACAACTGAGTTTCCCCCCTCCCTTTCCTATGCAGCCGGCTAGTAAAAGGCATTTCCTCAGAATCCGTTTTATTAGAGTGTCAGGGAAAGAAGAAATACTGTGAAAAAGGGCAGCAAACAATTAAGTGGAGAGGGAGTATGTGAATTGATTTCCCCATGTTTTTCTAAAATCAGGGGTCTGTCCAGACATTTTGTGAAAGGTCCGTTTTTCGTGAAATTGTGAAAAAATCACTCACATTCTTTCAAGCAGGGTCCGCTTTTATGAATTTGTGCAAATAGGCTCCGGTTCTTGCAAAAAACTTTTTCAAGGAGTTTTTAAATTCTAAATAGATACAAGATTATGCTTGGAACTGTAATATTATAATAAAAAAAAATAATAAATTTTCAAAAATAAACAGAAATTGCTGCTTCTAAATTAGATGCAACATGCAAATATTTGGTATTTAGCCTATACTGCTGAACGCAGAATATTCATTTCGGACGAATGATGAAAGAATCGTCTGTCGAAGACAAAACTAAATTCGTTTACATCCATCTTTCTTGTTTTCTGCCCTGGGAAGGGTTTATACTTGAAGAATGATGAAACTGTCTAAAAAGGACATGGGTTGCATATAATATTGTAATAGGAAGTTTCACTACTGATAGTTTAATAATAAACAACTACTTTTTAAATTTATTTTAACATTATAGAACTTAAAAGTTTAATGATATTAGAGTATATAGTTTTAAACTATATTTAGTTATTTTTCCTTTTTTTGGGGGGTTACTGTTTTGTACTGTTACTAATTACTACCTAATTACTGTTTTGTTTGTGTTTAAAACATCCCAATTTCTATGAATATTAATGCAGTTCTTAAAAGTTTTTTGAGAAAGTTTCAGTTTTTTGTTCTCATATTTTAATTTTATTAATAGTTCATCCAGAATTTTACTTTTGAACACCAAGGCTGAGAAGCACATTTACTATTTTCATTTTGAAATTATTAAAACCCAAACTTTTAAGTATTAGATAATAGAAGTTATGAACTCTATTACAGGAAGTATTTCCATTTATGCTTTTGATTATAACAAGCATAATATGTCTTTATGATAATTAAAAAAAGTTTATGTAGCTTTTATTTCAATTCGTTCATTCCATAGATTTAACTTATTTTTAAAGTAATCTGAAAATAGATTTGGTGATACTGTATTTAATATTAATTAAATTGCTTATATCAGTTTATTTTTATAAATATTTTTGAAGGAAAGCTCTGATTTTTAAACATTTTAAAATTATGTACTTAAGTTTGTTTAAAGAAATGCGTATTTCCATTAGTATTTAATCTTAAAAGTGGAAAAAATTTGAGATTTTTTTCTTTTATTCCTACTCAAAAACTATTTATAAAAATTTAAATAACTTTTAACAAGACAAGCTTTTTTTTTTAAAAAAAATTTTTTAAATTATTTGTTGGTTTAAGCTGTTGTTTGAACCACATTGGCTTAACTTTTTGCTTCTACAACTTGGTATACTTGCAGAGGCGTACCTAGAGAAAATGGCGCCTAATTTATTTAAGAAGAAAAAGAGAGAGTAAAAAGCATGAATTGCCGTTTGGCATATATTTTTAGCCACAGATTTGCCCGAAATAGATTTGCACGTGATAAAATTTATATAAATTAACCAAGAAGTTTTTAATTAACTTATTTATAATAACATACAATTAACTTAAGTATTTCACATAGAATTTTACCACTTTACTTGGATATCAATTGTTTTTTTTTCTTCAAGTTTTTGAAGAGTTTGTCTATTTATTTGGGAGAAAAAAACATTACTTTATGTTTTTTTAATTCTATTCATTTGATTAAACATGGTATTTAAATAAATATTTTAGAAACATTAAAATTCTAAGTAATTAGTTTATTTACATTAAAATCATTTCTTTTATCGTTTAAATCAACAAAGCAGATATTTTCTTCTTCTATAATACCCAAATCTGAAAAATTTCAATTAATGTTATCATCATGATTACAAAGCAATATAAAAGGAGCAAGGTAAATATTATTTAATAAAATTGTATAGCCTTGAAAATTAAAGATAATTAAATCACCAATAAATCTAAAAACATGTTTGAAAATAAGTGCATGATTTTTTTCTTCATAATAGTGCAAAAATAAATTAGCTAAGAGAGATGAAAGATTAGATCCTTGTGGTATTCCATCAATTTGAAAAAATATTCTTTTCCATTGTTAAGGTAGTTATTAAAAATACAATGAAAATCGCAATTAAGGATATTTTTAAAATCTTAGTAATAATTCAAAAAGACATCTTTTAGTTTAAAAAGGGGAATGCTGTTGAAAAGATCCTGGAAATCAAAAGTCGCAATCGAGTTAATTTTATTATCTTTAATATATTCTAAACTCGAGTAATTATTAGTGAAAATTCAAGAAAAATCTTCTTTAATGATATTGTTAATAATTAATGTTAAAGTAGGTTGAGGAAATGGAAACTATTATGAACATATTTTTGCGGCATCGTGGTTTAAATTTTTAAAAAGAAAATAAAGGCAATTAAAGTATAGACATTTTAGTTTCGTTTCGAATTTTTCTTCTTTTTAGGATTATAAAACTTTTTTTTAAAATCGTATTGTAGACTTGGAACTATTCAAAAGATTTAAATATTTAATTAAAAGTTTGTATATTTAAATTAAAAATTCTTATCTTTAATTCTTGTTTGTTCATTTTATACACATAAGTCCGAAGGTGGTTGGAACCCTCAAGTAAATTAGAAAAAGAATTACCTTTGATCTTTGATAATCCTAATTATTAGTATCAGATAATCATGTATTATTACAATTTTAATGGTTCGATAGGGAAGCGTTAAATCTTTTATTTTAAACTAGGAGGCTTCGCCCCCTGCTCGCTA